CAGCATCAGGCGATGGAACGCCTGCTGCCAAGTCTAACATAGATTTTACGCCGGCTGCATGCATCCACGCAGTCGCTTCTGGTGCGGCCTTGCTCGAACAGCGCTTGGACGAGCTCGTCTTGCGCTGAAAGTTATAGTGAAGAGGAAAGACGAACAAGTGCTACTTTCCCATAACGACAAGTTGTTATTTCTCTGTCACTAATCAATCAAATCACTTACTATAGCGACTGGTGGTTAAAGGTGGAGTGACGTAACGGAGTGATCCTTTTACATGAAAATCATACGAATGTATCAATTTTTGAGTATAATCTTTTCAGATGATATTCAATCATCATCACTGAGAAGAGGTGATGTTGGCATTCTATTACCTTCGGAAGTAATATTCCGGGGGTGCTCCTATTTTGGTTGAAGTAGATACCACTTCAACCATATTAAACATCAATCGATGCTGGACGTGCGCTATTAGTGGCGAACAAGAAATCTGTAAAGGGGGTTTCATTTCGGCATAGTCAGCTTAAGATAAATACGATTTGCAAAGAGACGCTACGGTATTACACGATACTGAATACAGTTTTAGTTGTTTCATAAACAGATCTTCCAAATTCCGTTTGCTTTGCGGCGCTTCCTCACACCACGTGTACGTGACTTCGGGAGCACGCTACTAGTTCTCAGTTAACACAAAAAACTGCCTTTTCATATTCATTGTCATCAAAAGAAAGACATAGAATACACAATGCTGTCTACTTCTCAGTCTTATCGACCTCACTTTTGCCACCTTCCTGCTCGAACCTGTCAGTATTTAATAATTCAAGAGCTTTTATAGCAAGGGATTTGTGTTCATTATGAAACAGGTACGAGCATTATGGCACAGCTGATCCAGAAGATGGCTCCTATCTGCAGATAAATCTGGAACTCAATACACTTGTATTTTAACTTAAACATGATTAGCATATAGGACTAGATCTACGCGCGACTTTTAAATTATTGGTTACTTACTAGATGAGCGATATCATCTCATCGACTGTGATTGCGCGGCCCTTCTGTTTTGAGATCATATAGAAGGAATGATAGCGAAGAATGCTTAAGAGGAAAGTAGTGTTACAGTACACTTCGACAATAATCTCACACCAACTTGTTATCATTAATTCACAAAAATATATCGGTCCTAAAAAAACTCTTAATACATTAAGGCGCAGTGTTTAAATACCGAAATTATTTTTAGTCTCTTTGCTTGTCTAATCTTTCTTGTGATAACATATATTACAAAGATAGCTCTAGACTTTTGAAACCAATGGAGCAATAACGAATGAGGACACAACTTCTTAGAATTAAAACGTGCTCTCTCTTCCCGGAAGCTTGCTATACACGTAAATCGGTGGAATATTCGGCTTTCGGCGCGGACATGTAAGTGATTAATGGGACGCACGGTCGTTTTATAGGCAATACAATTTAGAAAAACGAGTCTCGTTTCGCAACAAACTCGGGACTTTTTTTGATCAAATTAGATGGAGTTGTCTGCGTCTGCGTGAGTTAAAAAAAAGACTGCGGACACGCATGTCGTGCCTGACGTGCTGTCATGTGTATCATCCGTTACATGTTGATATCTGATTTCTGCAGCCGAGTAAAGGACTATTTTCACCTGTCCATAAGCTTGCATGATCTGGCTTGTGGAAATGCGCGTGGTTCGTGCAACAAATTCACATGTTGATGAATCCGAATTGTGGTCATTTATACACAAACACACGGTGGCTCGATGCCACCATCTTGACAAGGCTAAGGGGCAAAAATTGTATAATGATATTGGACATTGTGGACACTTCCAGCGTGTCACTAGCATGAAAATGAACACCAAGAGCATGCATTTATAGGAGACTTGATCTCGGGTGGTCACGCTTTTTTCGCCTTTGCGGTATTTATCGAACGCCATGAAAAATTTCGAGGACAACAAGGGCCCGATTCTTCTGTCGGGGTATATGTAGAATATTATCTTTTATGCCAAAATTGTTTTACACTTGCGGTGGATATACGGATCAATAAAAGCTACACGCTCGTGAACCTAGGTGTAGTGAATAAAGAATCTTGAGTAACCAATTTCATTAGTCAAAGCAGCTGCAGGACTGTCAGCTACACGAGTAAGGCCAGCATTTCGAAGTGCACAACCAGAGGGAAAGGCTGGTAGGCGCATTCTAATAAAGAGGTCACAGCAGTAAAGAAGAAAATAGCAAAGTTGAGGACCGTCTATGTAAATTTTGTTGGCACCGGAAAACTATACAAATGAATAGTCTAATAAAACTTCGGTATTATGACAACTTAACTGGGTGTATTAAGAGTAATCCCAGGTCCTGTACGCCACCATATCCAATACCCTGAAGTCCATTCTATAAATTCTCGTGCCAAGTAGCTTAGTGTCAAACTACTTTATAATATAGGGGAGAAAGCTTTAAAGCTCGCCCCTTGACAAAATTAATTTAGTTCGTGGAACTGAATTAAGGTACAAAAATCTATACAACGGCAGACACTGAACAATTAGTACGAAGCGGTCAATTTTTGTATAACACCGTACAAAATTCTGGGCAATCTAATGGGGCACCGGAGCAATATACTGGATAAACATTGTGGAGCTACTCTCAGCGACATCAGTGCGGGTGGTGCCTCGCTACCTCTGTAAATTACGCAGAGGAAGGAAAAGTAACTAGTAATTTGACTGGTTGCAGGTAAAAGTAAAAAAATGTATAGCTAAGTCTTGATTATTAACATATGTTCTAGCCATAACATAATATTGATATTTATTAAATGTATGCTAAAGTCTTGTTCCCCACTCATTGCGCGCGTACATCTTAAATTGGACCGCTAGAGCTGGTTAATATGATGTCCCATATCAGCCAATTGGTGAGTCTTTCTGAATATTACCCCTTATGGCGATATATATGAACATCGTCAATCTTAACAGTAATATTCTAATTAACAAGTTTAAAGGGTTAAGCACACGTAACAGGCTCACCCCGTTGCAGACAACACGATCGGCCTTTGCTTAGAAGCGTCCAACTTTTGCCAATGTGACAGATTTCAATTTCATTAATTTGACGATGATCAGGTGTGTGCATCACGATATTGACCAAGCCTTAGAGTAATTTATACCTATCATGCTAACGACCTATAAGGGGGAAAGGCTACATCATATTTGGTAAGAGTTATGTACACCTAACCGCTTTATTTACAGACACACACATAGACAGATAAGCACGATTTGAAGTTCGGAATATAACCTTGCGCACACTCACTAGTAGCTCCACTCCAGAATTCGCAATTACCTTCACACTACCTATGCCGTATCGGCCTTATTTAAATTCTACACTTTCATTCTAATTTTAATCATATCTTTACCAATTTTTCAAGGCCTCTCTGGGCGTCAGACTACCTTGCTTAGTCAAAGATTCCGCTTCTCGAGATGTTTTTTTCTCTTTGGTACCTGATTTCCACATAATCATCGAGACTTCTTGATTTTTACTTTTTTGGAATCGTTCGAAGGTGGGGGTTGTACCCACAATCACTGTAATGCCGGGGTTGAGATTCACCAATGCACCAAAAATTGATCCTTGTGTCAAGTAGCTCAGCGAATAATTAAAATCACAATAAAAAGCATCACAAGATGCTCGATTGGGACATTCTGCTGTGGTGGAGTGGCGATGGATCATTTTATGAGGCAATCCCGGCTCTCCACTGGTGCCCAGACGACCAACTATCGGAGGGGGTACTCCGCTTTTGTGTCTTTTAATTCCTTTCCCACCTTGTGTACCCGTCACTAGGGTGGGCTGCACTCTTCTCGGTGGACTCGTGTCGATAGAAAACTTGACCGTGTTTGGAATGGGTTGGTATGATCGGGCGGAAATCTTCGCGCGACCACGGGGTACTTGTGGGTGTTTGATATAAGTCAACCAGATCTCAACGAGATCGCCTTGTCCACTGTGTGGATGCTTGATACGCGAGCCCCTATGACCACTGAGCCGTCTCGCGATCTTGCGTCTTGTCCTTTTCGTTCTTGCTGCGTCCGGTCGCAGATGGGGGGGGGAGATTTCTTGATCCCCAGCCAATGATCTGGGGATATCACTTGGTTTTAGTATACGTCACTTTCTTTACGTCGGGAAGTCACTATTCCAGCCCAGAAGAGGAGTCGACGAGTGTACTTAGAAGCAAATACATGTCCATTCAGTGTCAACCAACCAAGTGCTAAGACTATGACTATGCCTTCTGATATGCTAGGATGTTCTGCCACGTGTCCTCTATCTTTCGGTGATTGATCTTCGCATGTGTGGTCCACTTCATACAGATCGCCGATCTCTTCGATCGCCATTCTCCCCGAATGCGATATCTTCGATCGATCGCCGATCTTCTTGGCCGATCACTGATTGTTGATCTCCTTGGCCGATCACTGAGTGTCGATCTTCTTGGCCGATCACTGATTGTCGATCTTTATGGCCGATCACTGATCGTCGATCTTCTTGGCCGAGCACTGATCGTCGATGTTCTTGGCCTATCCCTGATCCATCCAATTTCTGATCTGTCCGATCGTTGATCTTCTTGATAGTCGATCTACTTGATTAATTTGTCTTCTTGATCAATCTCGATCTCTTCGACCGGCTGTCGAATGCCTTCCAGGATCTTGATCTATGCTAACCTGTCATCCATATCCCCGACCTTGAACATCTTATACTTCCTCAATCTCGGTTACCTTGGCTTGATCTTGGTAACTTGACATTCGATCCCATTGTCGTGATATTTAGTTGCGGTATTGCGATATTAGCTCTAGGTATCGTGATTTTCGATCTCGATACTGTGATATTCGATCTTAGTATTGCATCTCTTATCAGCCAATCAATCCCTCTCAACAATGTGTCGCCGTTGGAGATCACTCCCTTTATCGATCGCTCTTTCTTCCAAAATCGCTCCACACATCAGCCTTCCGTCTTCATATCCAGAGCATCATTCACTAACTTGATCGGTCACTCGATCGATTTCGCGCTGAGATCGTGTCGATCCGATCTGGACTCGTCTTTCTTCACTCGATCTGTCTTCCCAATCTTCTTCCTTGACATTGTCTGAGTGGTCTTGTGTAGGTTTTGTTCAGTTTTCGCTGATGGATTTTCACCTAGCGGATCGTGTTTTGCAGCACGATCTGCGGTGGTCCCTGAAGGGACCCAAGGAGGGGGTTGAGGTTTATCTTCCAGATCGTAAGATCGACCTTCCTCTTTGTTTTTCTTGTCATCAGAGCCCCTCTCAAAACTCTGACGATCTGGGGATCTTTTAAAATCACGCGTCCTTGGCGATCCCTCTGCCTCATACGCTTTCATTCCAGGTTCAATCTTGACCTTCTCATCTTCACTCAGGGACTCACGGTGAAATCCCGAGTCACCAGAAGATCTGGGCACGCGCACCATTGTGGTGGAGTGGTGATCTCTCATTTTATGAGGCAATCCCGGCTCTCCACTGGTGCCCAGACGACCAACTATCGGAGGGGGTACTCCGCTTTTGTGTCTTTTAATTCCTTTCCCACCTTGTGTACCCGTCACTAGGGTGGGCTGCACTCTTCTCGGTGGACTCGTGTCGATAGAAAACTTGACCGTGTTTGGAATGGGTTGGTATGATCGGGCGGAAATCTTCGCGCGACCACGGGGTACTTGTGGGTGTTTGATATAAGTCAACCAGATCTCAACGAGATCGCCTTGTCCACTGTGTGGATGCTTGATACGCGAGCCCCTATGACCACTGAGCCGTCTCGCGATCTTGCGTCTTGTCCTTTTCGTCCTTGCTGCGTCCGGTCGCAGATGGGGGAGATTTCTTGATCCCCAGCCAATGATCTGGGGATATCACTTGGTTTTAGTATACGTCACTTTCTTTACGTCGGGAAGTCACTATTCCAGCCCAGAAGAGGAGTCGACGAGTGTACTTAGAAGCAAATACATGTCCATTCAGTGTCAACCAACCAAGTGCTAAGACTATGACTATGCCTTCTGATATGCTAGGATGTTCTGCCACGTGTCCTCTATCTTTCGGTGATTGATCTTCGCATGTGTGGTCCACTTCATACAGATCGCCGATCTCTTCGATCGCCATTCTCCCCGAATGCGATATCTTCGATCGATCGTCGATCTCCTTGGCCGATCACTGATCGTCGATCTCCTTGGCCGATAACTGATTGTCGATCTTTATGGCCGATCACTGATCGTCGATCTTCTTGGCCGAGCACTGATCGTCGATGTTCTTGGCCTATCCCTGATCCATCCAATTTCTGATCTGTCCGATCGTTGATCTTCTTGATAGTCGATCTACTTGATTAATTTGTCTTCTTGATCAATCTCGATCTCTTCGACCGGCTGTCGAATGCCTTCCAGGATCTTGATCTATGCTAACCTGTCATCCATATCCCCGACCTTGAACATCTTATACTTCCTCAATCTCGGTTACCTTGGCTTGATCTTGGTAACTTGACATTCGATCCCATTGTCGTGATATTTAGTTGCGGTATTGCGATATTAGTTCTAGGTATCGTGATTTTCGATCTCGATACTGTGATATTCGATCTTAGTATTGCATCTCTTATCAGCCAATCAATCCCTCTCAACAATGTGTCGCCGTTGGAGATCACTCCCTTTATCGATCGCTCTTTCTTCCAAAATCGCTCCATCACACTGCAGATTTATTAAGAAAATTTATTTTGTCATTAGTTTTCATCATAGTTTGTTAGCGCACTGGTTTGCTAGCGCTACGGTTAATTATTATTCTGGACCGTGTACAGGCTTCTAGCACCATACAAGTCATGCTTGAGGTTCGACGAGACACTATACAAAAAATATACTACGAAAGTGGCGGCTCAGAGATTTCGTCTGATATGCGGGAATAAAACGAATTTCGATCCTTATTTTCTCTAGATGGTGTCGGTCGCCTTTGTATTGAAGAATGGGGAACGAGCGGCAGTGTTATGGGCTTTCGTTCGCCTGCTAGGGCTGCTTCTCGTAAAAAGGATACATATTAAGAGCTCTTTTGCAGAGCTACATGAATGCCTATTTATTATCTTTTGCAGTATATTGCTGCATACCGCAATTACCGAGAAAATGACAAAGTGCAAGATCAGGACTAACGTCGTGCCACTCTTTATGATTCGAACCTTGATTCTAGTACCACTTTTTTGACCTCATGCTTCGTATTTACCCCAAAACGGTTGTCTCACACTTGCAGCCAGTCAAAACTGACGTTAAGAAACAGTTGCCAGCCATCATGACAATCAAGGACAGCAGAATGGACGTGACAGCTTCACTCTTTCTAAATTTGAGAATTGCGCAACGTTTTAAAAACTCCATGTGTATTGGACAGGACTGAATAGCTCAAACAAATGACGTTGGTATGCCATATCATTTCTCATAGGTGCAGCTAAGAGTGCCCCGGTTCAGCCCACAAACGAAGCAGTAGCATAGGGATGACGTGCTGGCTGAGCAAGTGGCCTGGACTATAATCCAGGTCGTGCAAGGAACAACATGTAGTTTTGTACTTTCAATACTTAAGAGAATGGATTATCTATTAAAACCGCAATTCGGTCACTGGCATACATTTTAAATCTGTTTGAAGAATCACTATTCTTGTAGCATAAATAATAGATATGATCGATATCTATTGTTTATGCTAAATGACAGTGATTCGTCAGACATATTTTATTGTCTTTTTGCCAATGCTTCTCTTGCTCACATGAATTTTGTTATTTTAGTCATTTTTTTCTTTAATCATCATGGTATAGAAGGGAGTATGATTCAGATGATTAGTCATGATTTAGTTTCTATTATGTTTTATTAAACTAATGATAGTATTTTTAAACTGGCAGTAAAATAAATTAGCTAATTTTAAAAACAAATGATTAATTTTTATTTTATATTCTTTTAATTAAATATAGCTGAAGTATTTTTACTTAAAAATGTTTTTTTTTGGAAATTTAACGGTTTTTATTACGAGAAACACGCTCAAAATATCCCTGGCATTTAGAATCATTCGCACTAGCTGATACTTATGCGCTCTTTAAATTGATCATTAGATTCTCCCAGGCAACTTATTTGGCTGAATCATATTTTATGAGTTGATCCCGGTAACTTTCACGTAAAACAGATTTTTGGGACCGTCTGTGACCAAACTGACCGTTAGATGTCACCAATGCGTCTTCGATGGGTGACGTCAATTTTGTAGATGTTTGCGTAAGAATCTTCGACGCGCCCACGAAAGAGCTAAATAATGTTTGTGCCGTTGATGCACACGACTGACAGTAGTCTTTTATACCTCCGACAGGGTTTTGACACAAAGCGCGCGCGATAGAATTAAAAGGCGATGAATCTAAGTGTTGTTACGTTAGTGTAACGGGGCACCCTGAAGCTTGTACTGGTGACAGTACAAGCTACTTATTCTGACAACAGAATTAGGCGGTGCCTCGTAACTTCACGTACACTGGTACGTGCAGAAGAAGACGGTAAGAAGAAGCGAGTACTCGTTTAGAGTAAAAAGTAGAACTGTATTTATAATAGTTAATGTCTGCAATAAATCACTATTTATCTTCATCTAACTATGTCTAAATACAAATGTGTAAATCAACTATCTGCTCACCACTCATTGCGTGCGTCTGTCGTGGCGCGTCTTCGTTGGTTGATATAATGGCCTATATCAACCAATTAGGAACTACTCGTAAGTGCTATAGAATATTGTCCTTATTGACAATATTCTCAGAATATAACTCTAATAGTTATATTCTATTAACAATTTCTTATAAATTGTTATGTAACGATTCACCCCGTTACATCACCCCCCCCTTAACCATCAGTCACTTTAGTGACTGATTGACTAAATGGATACTCGTCCCAAATCATTTGGGACAGGGTTTGCACTTGTTGGTTCGACTCCACTCTCCAACATTTCATCGCATGGTAAACAAGCCCATGCGATGCGCGAGCAAGGCCGCCGAGAGCGCGTCCGCACGTCTCTGTGCGGACGCCGAAGCAGAAACTACAGCAACTGATGTCTCATCAGTTGCTGAAGCGACCCAGCCTGTGTCACTTGGTGATGCAGGCGCTGGTCATGAAGACACTCGTGTCTTCACAGAGTACGAGCTCGGTGTCTCGTACTCTCCTGATACGGATGAAGGAACCGTATCGACGGCGATTGAATCTAAGACGCCTGCCAAGCGTGGCATGGATGATGCTACACGTCGTAGCATCTTTGGTTCGTCTGATGAATCAGATGAACCATCGCCAAAGCGAAGGCGCTAGAGATCGCAAGACTCGGGCGCTCACAGTGGTTTCGGTTCTCCTGTTGACACCACTTCGCAAGACTCGGGCGCTGGTTTCGGTTCTCCTGTTGACACCACTTCACAGCGAGGTGCCAGTACTTCTGTCGGCACGTCGCAGGAAGAGCAGGACCGCAATGTGTTGCGTCTCGCTCGTGAGAAGAAGGCATGGATGCCTCCTAAATCAGTCATGGATCACTTGTCGGCGACGACGAGTGATCGTTATCGAACACGATTGTTCGATTCGTCAAGGATCCATCACCTTGACCCCAGCGCGAAAAACTATCGCGCTGAGAATGAATTCTTCATCGATGCTTTCTTTAGACATCGATGGTACAGTGGGAATCACAAACGTGATGGTCCCTCACTACTTCAGGCGTGGAACGCCTACATCCATAACCTCGAGGATGTAGGTCGTGACGCTTGGAACGACAAACTTATCAAAGCTCGTGATAAGTTTGAAAAGCGAACCCCGACAGGTGCACGCTTCAAGCTGCATCGTCTGTCAAGGGAGAAAGGATTACCCTGCCTCTCTTTGGGAGACTCGTCCCCATGTTGTGTGAACAACTCTGCACGAGCACCTAAGGAGGTTTACCTCCTTACCAGCCCGTGGTGGCGCGTACGTATCTCTACTGAGATGTACGAAGGGATTGACAACCTGAAATCCCTATATGACCGTGCCGGGAAGACTTTCTCCGGCGGTCTTTCTGCGGCACAGGATGTGCCGCGTCGTACTGCTCAACCAGACCCAGTACGTCAACCATCAGTTGGGAGCGAGGCTCCCAAGTATCCCAGGACGGGGGATAGCCGCGCCACCGGACGAGGTAACTCGTCCGACGTCCGTTCACGTCGCGGTGGTTCAACAGCTGCTCAACTAGATAGCGCTGGCCACCGCGAGAGTCCTCTAATGGAGGTGGAGGAGGAGGAAAGACGCTCTCCACACGATCATGTGGATCGGTGTGTTCCTGAGAGCTTCTTTGATCGCGTAACGCAAGGGTTACGCGACGATCTCTAACATGAGCGAGACAGGCGTCTCCAAATGGGGGACACTGTCTTGAAGCATCGAGCTGAGTTTGCCTTTGCTCAGCTTGAGAACGAGAGATCTCTGACATCTCTTCGTGACGAGCTAAGGGTAGCTCGTGGGATTGTTGATCGGTCTCGGGCTGAGATAACTGCTCTTCAGACCCTTGTTGATGCCCACCATCGGGAGCAGAAGGCTCTCTGCGAGATGCTTGAGCGCAAGGGCGTTCTTCATCGGAAGAAGCAGCGTACTGATGGTACGGCTTAAGCCGACCAACGTAAAACGTGGGATGCGTTCGCATCTTACGTGGTAATTCGATCGTGTATGTATTGCCTAGGCGGTGCAATACACGAAATGGACCGATGTACTTGGGTAGTAGTTTACTGCTACCCAAGTTAGTCACTACATGCTTTGGTAGATTAACCGTAGACAGTAGGACTAAGTCACCTTTATTAAATAAAAGAGTGTTTGCCCTTCCATTCTTGTCAGCGTTTTGCTTTTGCTTATCCACCGCTTCGGCGATGGAGTCTTACACAAATCGGACTACCGTTTCACGAGCCAGTATGAACTCATCTGATGACTCGTTAGCTTCAGTGTGCTGTGAGCGCAATGCAGCGACAACAACCTTTTCTTCAGTGAGGGCTTCCGCACTCTCACTGGGATCATTGTCTTCAGTGAGGGCTTCCGCACTCTCACTGGCATCATCTTCTTCGATATCGATGTTATCGATATCGGCATCAAACGCAATGACTTCTTCGTCAGAGCGTGATGAGCGTGAACCAAATCGGTTTTTGCTCGCGCGAGTCCCTCCCCCCCTTAAACCAGAGTTACACTCTAGTAAGGTGGGTACACGCGGATGGCGCAAGCCATTCACGTAAAACGGTGTATGTGTCGTGGACGCATGCACCGAGTTGTTGATGGCAAACTCTACCATCGGCAAAAACTCACTCCAACTCTTAAAGGAGTGGACGTATCCTCGAAGTATCTCTTCAAGGACACGATTGGCACGTTCCGTCTGACCATCTGACTCTGGATGATCAGATGTTGACATCTTCAAGCGCGTTCCGAGTGATTTGAACACGGAACGCCAGAAATCAGCAGTGAATCGTGGATCTCTGTCTGATACGAGTTCACGGGGCAACCCATGAAGTCGGAAGATGGTGTCAATAAAGACACAAGCACAGCCACTTGCCGTGATTGTCTCTGGTACAGCCACAAGGTGTACCATTTTGCTGAATCTGTCAACAGATACGAGAATACCCGTATTCCTGCGTGCGTCTTTGGGTAACCCGAAGACGAAATCCATTGAGATGGATTCCCAGCACTCAGCCGGAACCGGTAGAGGCTGTAAAGGTGCACGCAGTGAAGGACTTGACTTCACTCGTTGACAGACTTCGCATGCGCGAACATACTTTCGCACAAACTGATACTGGCGGGGCCAGTAAAAGTCTCGACTCACCGTGAGATATGTTTTCTTCCGGCCACGATGTCCTCCTATAGGAGCATCTTGATACTCGAACATGATCCGCAAACGCAGATCAGTATCATCTGGAATGAAAACACGTGGTGTGTCACCAGAAACGGCTGTATAATACAGTAAACCGTTACGAGTAGTATATCGATCTGATGCAGATCGATACGCAGGCGACAATCGTTTCAACGATTCTCGAGATGGTTGGGAGAGATATGTCAACAGCTTCACAATCTCACCATCTTGGGCATATGCCCACCTCACATCATCATGCAACGTTGAAGATGGTATTGAGAACGTCATAACCGCAACAGTGACTGTCTCACTGTTGGGTTTCGCGACTGTTTCAAAGTCGGGACGACGTGAGAGTGCATCAGCGACGACATTAAGTCGTCCTGGTTTGTACTCGACCGTAAAGTTTTATTCCGCAAAGAATGACAACCACCGCTCCATTCGTTGTGAAATGTGCGGGCTGTTCACTGCCGTGCGTAATGACGCATGGTCAGTGTAAACAATGAATGGTCTATCTCCTAACAGATAGACTCTGAACTTCGCGAGTGCATACTTCATGGCAAGAAGTTCCTTGCCATGTACTGGATAGTTCCGCTCAGCTGGTTGCAGCTGACGCGACTGATAGCAGACGACGCGTTCAACGCCTTCAAGATCGTACTGCATTAATGCACAGCCGATTGCGAAATCGCTGTCATCACAGACCACATGAAATGGCCTGTCCTGATCGGCTGTTGCTAGGACTGGGGATTGTATCAATCTCTGCTTGATACCATCAAAGGAGCGTTGACATTCAGCGTTCCATAACCACCTCTCGTTCTTTTTCAACAAACGAGAGAGGTGCACAGTCATCTCGGCGTAATTGCGTGAATACTTATGCAAATACGCCGCTAGCCCAAGGAATTTTCGAAGACCTTTGACATCGACCGGCACAGGCCAGTCGGCGATCGCCTTGATCTTTTCGAGATCAGGACGTACATCGTTCTTACCAACGATGCACCCAAGAAGTGGTATTTCGCTTGCTGCAAATATACACTTCTTGAGGTTAGCATACAATTGATGCTTTCGCATGATTGTAAGAACTTGTCGGACGTGGTACCTGTGAACCTCAACGTCCGACTTTCCATCCATAGCTCGACTATGGATGAATACGTCATCGAAATAACTCGGCGCGAATTCTCGTACTGGTCTCAACAGATGTGATACACATCTGTTGAACGTGGCAGGGGCATTACTAAGCCCTTGTGGCATTACTAGCCATTCCCAGAGCATGCCGCTAGGCGTGCTAACTGCGGTATAGGGTATATCCCGTTCCCGCATAAGGATTTGATAGAAGCCATCCATCAAATCCATGGACGAAAAGATGGTACTCTTTGACATACCATCAATGATGACGTCCTTCCTTGGTATCGGCGTCTGAGCCGGTACCGTTGCAGCATTCAACTTGTTAAATGCATGCACTATTCGCCACCCTCCTGTTGCTTTTCGCACACAGATGGTCGGAGAGCTATGTGGGGAAGTTGATTCCCTCACATGGCCTGCAGCTAAACGATCGGCAAAGAACTTGTCGATCGCAAGTACTTGTTCACGAGGCAGTGGCCACTGCTTCATGACACAGTACTTCGAGCCTGGTTTAAGCTCGACCTCGTGTCGAATACCTTTATCCTTCGGTAATTCGCACGGAACAGTTTCAGGGAATACATCCTTGAATTCAACCAAATCTTCATAGAGATGATTTTTCTTGAGCGATTCCCATGATTGGGAGTCATATCGCTCAATTCGTGTCTTTTCATCTAGGACACTCTCGTCCATAGATGAACTACTGAGAACTCTCTCGTTCTCAGTGAACACTGTTGCTGACCTTATGTCGGTTACACACTCGTCGTCAGCGACGAGTATGCAGATCTGCTTGACTTTGCCACTACGCAGATCACGCAAGAACCTTTTATGTTCGAGCGTTGGCAACTGAGTGATCTCCGAAGTCAACTTCGGAGGCGCAATCAGATCAAGTGTGTAAGCGCCTACACTTGATCCGTCATTGACTATGACATTCAATGTCTCTGTCATTTCCTGGGGACTTACTCCCTCAGGCCTCGAAGGACTTATTCCTTCGGCTTCCCGGGGACTTATTCCCTCGGGTTTCGAGGAACTTATTTCCACCGTATCTGTAATATCGGGACTTATTCCCTTAATTTCCTCTAGCTGGGGTTGCGCAACCACAGCGAGATCCTCTACGAAAGACTCTCCAGTCGATCTAGGATCATCGTTTCGCTTAACCTGAGCGATCGATTGTTTCTCTTCTAGATGTTCCCCGCTAGGGTTACATCTTTGTCCTGGTCCACTCGACTTATTCGAGTGGTGGACCTTCGGCGCAGCCTGTGTTTCCTCACAGCCGCCGGAACTTTGCTCCGAAGTGTAACCGTTTGGTACACTAAGGTTTTGTGCAGTCGTACTAACGACCGTACCACAAATGAGGCCATCGCACTCACTCGTAGTACATCCACACGCTTGTGGACGCTCTAAAACGTTCATCAGATGGCCATCTGTTGAACAAGCGGCAGGCATCGTTACTGTTCGATGTTGCCAGTTTACCCGTGGTTCGTACCTTCTGAGCCACGGTATTCCAAGGATGATATCAAATTTGTCATCCAAATCCAATACGATAAATTCATCGTCATATTGGGTATCTTCTAGCGTATAGTGGATCTTCACTATACGCTTCATGACGGTTACGGATGCGCCTGTTGCAAGGCGTACCGTCATCCTCGTAGGAGGTGTGTCACATTCACTGAACTTGAAGTGGCCATCTTCTAGCGATTGGCGTCGCACAAAATTTTTGGACGCCCCACAATCGACTAGAGCTCGAAGGGACAACTTATTCGTCACTTCGAGTTTCAAGGTAACGAGTGAGATCTCATTACCTAGAGCAGCAACGCACAACGTTTGTGTGTTGGGAGCAACCTTCATCAAGAGGCCTGCCAATTCTCTTGACGTTGCTGGACCAGTAGGGTGCTCCGCACCTACTCATCCTGTCCGTTTTTTTACGGTCCATCCCGTTGTTGCGTCTTTGCACCAACAGCGGACCCGCGTCCCTGCCCCTTTCTCATGGATGGACAATCACTACGACCAGTGTTGCGAGACACTGGACGAGGGCACTACAATCGTAAGCGTATTGTCCTGTCTTTTGAGACCTGTTGCATCTCTGCAACTTCTTGTAGCCTGTAGAGCGAGCCTTCTCGCTCTCTACATAACAGAGTTCCATCGGCTCTGGACCTCCGTTGTCATATCGTCTCGGTTGACGATATGATGTCGAGCTGGCGCGAGCCTGTCTCATACTGAAGTCTTCCTGCTCCGCAATGGAAATGGCTTGTTCTAGTGAATCTAGTTCAAGCCGGAACAGGTGAGTCTTGACGGGACCATCCGCAAGACCCTGCACGAACACCAAACCAACGTGTGTTCATCCACCGGATTGGAACTTGTACAACTCGTAAGATGTCGTATATGTTGGGCGTAAGCGTGCACATCACGCTTACCCTGTTTGAGCTTCAAGAGTTCGGTTCGAGCCCTGAACTCAGCTCTAGGCGGTTCAAACGTTTGTCTGAGCCGCGACTTGAAGACTTCCAACGACCCAAACGCATATGGGTCGTGCAACTTGAGCCCCAGTGCCCAAGTCTTGGCACGTCCTGCCAGATTTGACTGGGCAAATGCAACTTGCATATCCCCGTCGTCGATGCGACGCGCCCTTATGGCGTCGTCTAATTCGACGAACCATATCTAGAGGGAGTCCTCTTCGACTCCCCTATACTTAGAGATGTCGATCTTCAAGGTCTCGGGTCGACGCGAGTGCACCGACCCACCAGCAGCAGCCTGCTGCTGTCTCAACAGTTCAAACTGTTGAGCACCCTGTTCTCTCAACAACTCTGCTTGTTGAGAACCTTGTTGGTGAAGCAAGGCTACTTTCTCGCGTTCGGCGTCAAGTTCATTTTGAATGAGCTTGGCGATAGTAGCATGTTGGGCATCTCTGTTGAGAGCCTCTAGCATGACGCGAACAGCATGGATGCCCATGGTTGAACCCATCCGTTCAACCGCATCCCATTCGACATCGCTCAAATGGGAGTAGCCGTCACGCGTAGCGTAAAAGCTTTGGTAATCTTCATCATCTAACATATTCATGGTAGATGTGAACGTGGTCCTTGGACGGACTACGAAGTGCTACCAGGTGTAACGGGGGACCCTGAAGCTTGTACTGATGACAGTACAAGCTACTTATTCTGACAACAGAATAAGGCGGTGCCTCGTAACTTCACGTACACTGGTACGTGCAGAAGAAGACGGTAAGAAGAAGCGAGTACTCGTTTAGAGTAAAAAGTAGAACTGTATTTATAATAGTTAATGTCTGCAATAAATCACTATTTATCTTCATCTAACTATGTCTAAATACAAATGTGTAAATCAACTATCTGCTCACCACTCATTGCGTGCGTCTGTCGTGGCGCGTCTTCGTTGGTTGATATAATGGCCTATATCAACCAATTAGGAACTACTTGTAAGTGCAACAGAATATTTGTCCTTATGACAATATTCTGAGAATATAACTCTTATAGTTATATTCTATTAACAATTTCTTATAAATTGTTATGTAACGATTCACCCCGTTACAGTTAGTGCTCCAACTTTTGACATGCGTAGCTGCTTGGATGACGAAGTCGCTGTTGCATCTCCATGAGATGTTACCCCAGTTGAGTTTTTTTAAATCGATAGCATGAAGAAAATGGGGTTGTATCAGTCAGCACTGGTTTTCGCTAGCTTGCAGAGCACAGCTGAGCGCGCGCTATAAGCCATGATCGGGCCAGATCTATTTAGCCGGTTGAGGAGGGTATCCGTAAAAACAGTACTATTACAAACAAATTCTTTTGTGGTTTTACAATCAGGCAGTACGCGAGCGTCCTAATGTTGTCATGTTCATAATTCAATTATCGCAGTAGGAGTCGATCTCATTCAGAGTAAAGACTCCAAAAATTGACATACACAGCACTTCAAGATATCATTCATTTGCAGCATGCAAAACGAGATTTCATACGTGCAACCTTGTCCGATGTCCCAGGAGCCAAATTATCCGATATCAGTGGAACGCTCTGTCGCATGAACAACGGGGCGAGTGGCGATTGTAATAGCAAAAGGTCAACCAGCTTAACAGAAAACCGAGTGAACGCAAGAATTAAATACAGTGAGCTTATTTCGCCGATAAAGTAGGCGACGAGATCGATACAACGCTAGAGCGTTTTTAAGGTGTGGCCAAAAAGTATCATAAAGGAAAGACAATAGTTAAACACGATCGTGGAGAGTACGTCGTCGCTCCATGAATCGGCAGGCATAGCTATAATATGGCGTAGTCGAATTCTTGCAGATCCCAGTAATCGATTTCAGCCAATCGCTGATCGCGCTGCAGCGAGAACGTCACATCATGTGCGGTACTGACTTGTCGGAATCGTCAGCTTGCCATTTGATGTTTGTGTCCAATTTTTGCTGCTGATCGTCTGTCTCGGTATTACCGGTATTTGATGGGCTTTGGGTCGGTTGAGCCACTGAACACTCACTGCATTTTCCACTTGGTTTTATTATGACCGCGCGACGACGGCGTGTCGACTAAACAGCTGCGCCCGACTCTGCCAAGCTAAGCCACCACGTGCATTTTGCTTGACTACCCTTTTGTATGGAGTGACCAACTTGAACTTCTGTGAAGCCCCACTTTCCAACTATCCCACTTCTACGCAAGCTCTAGCTGCATATTTGAACTCTGAACGAATGGAAAAAGCGACTCGATCCAAGGGCGTGTCCATGGACATCTCGGTGCAGACTTTACCCGACCTCAGTACACTGGAGGTACAAATAGGTGAGCTCCGCCTGTCGTCTGACGGCACGTGGCTTTATCTGCTGCAAGTGACGTGCAGTCGTAGCCACTGGCAGGTAGTCAAGCGTTACAGCGAGATTCGTGAGCTGTGGCTTGAGCTCTGTAAGACACTGGGGACGGGCGACACGCAGCGTCTATGCGCCGAGCACATTCACTTTCTTGCTGGCTTTGAGCAGGAGGTGTTCCCTAAGAAGCACCTGCTGCTGACGCAGCACAAGCTCGAAGCGCGTGCCAGCAAACTGAACCAGTTCTTCCTCAAGCTTGCTATGCGATTGAACTTGTGCAGGCCGCGGGAGCTGCAGATGTGCCGCGTGCGCGGCTGTCCGCTTCTGGAGCTTATTGCGGGCTTCTTTGTGGTGGACGCGGAGCAGGTGAAGAGCTGCGCCTTGACACACTCTTCACGCAGCATCTCGTTGCAACCTGACAGGCAGCACAATCAATTGTTTACAGACAAGAGAAAAGTTTCAATGAGTGTTCGGCTTGGTGTGGGCGTGAAGTTTTTGCGTCGAGTCTCGTTTGGATTTAAGGATCAGCGTGGCGTCGTGGCTGCTCTGGCTCAGTGAGAGCTTTGATTAAGATGCAATTGTGTAAACTTGTTAGAGAAGCTCACGACCCATTAAGTTGGTGAAGTGTGCCTTATACGGAGACATTTATCAACCGCACTGAGCAAGATACATCCCTTCTTGATTAATGAGCTCGCGTCACGGTTTGTGTGTGGGGTCACTGTGTTAAATTTGACCTGGTATGATTGCAACTCGTAAGAGATTAATGAGATGACATGCAAGGGCCTACCCTTTTTGACAAGCCGTCTCATATAAATATTATTCACTTGTGGCATCGATGAGCACTCAACAATTTACACATCGAACGGTACATGCAGTTCATTAGATTCTGTCGCTGCGTGGCGCACGACATGCGATCGAGTTTACGTTTCCTGTACACTATTGCAGTACGTGACTCTTGTACATAACTCATGCGATTCTTGCGAACTAAGGCTGCCTCACAACGCGTAAAACTGTTTTACGTACCTATGTTTGACATTCTCCTCCATTGCTCACAACTTTGGTCAGCGATCACGGTAACATGAGACATTGAAGCTCATGTTGTCATGCTTAAGCACAACTACCGTTATACAACAAGATTGGCGGCTCGAGACGCACGATAGCCATTATGCTATTATGCTATAAAACAATGTACCACGAGAAAACAACTTGCGTGTAAGCATTTGTTATGCAGCGATCACTTGCATTCCATGCATTTGTACCGCAATGCCTAGAATAGAAGTTACCAATTTTACGTAAACATCACTACACGCGCACTGCACAACACCAGATATTTTCGATAACCGGTAGGAAAAACCAGCATCCACATTGACTCACTTCCCGTGTGCTGTGTCAGCTCTGGCCAAAGATGTATTACATCTTGTAACCTATATGAATTTAATTCATCGCAACACCGTTAAATTCGCTTCGAAACCATAGAAACAATTCAATGAACATGTGCTTACGAATTTAATGACGCGATGAATCGCGATCCTGTTGTGATCGTGGCGCGTGTTCTCCTACATTCTCATTGATAAAAACATGTCAGTGTTATAGCTGGCCAGGGTTCGTCCAGCTGATGCGCGCCACTTTCGTATTGGGACGGCCCACCGCCACGTCCCCGCGCCATGCCGGACTCGCTCGTCAAGTTGTCGTCCGCCAGGCCAACTGTCCTGCGGCTGGTACTATCGGCTACTTTAGTCTATGCGATATTGATAGTAGTATGGATGATATCTAGTCAACAGTACTTCTTTTCTACGTCCGAACAAGTGGAGGCAGAAGCTCATGCGACAACCCTCCAGAGCCTTTCACTCGAAGTATTGGAGACAGAGGCCCCTACAGCAACCGTCAAGAACGGTTCGCGTGAAGCATTGGAGACACGCCAATTCAAGTGCATCGGATGGAGAGCCACGCACGGCTGCAGTGCAGACGGAGCTCGTGATGTGGCGAATGACAAAGTGTGCGACGAACGGGTCGAACACACTGCGTCCGGCTACTGTGAGATTGAAGACGTCCAGAACGGTGAGAGGTTCCGTGTCATGCAGCGTGGGTGTGGCACAGTCCGAAACGGGCCAAATTTTCCTGCTCTCTTGTACCGGATTTCGCGAATTTCCCCGCAAAGATTGACCAAGTGGTGGAAAAAGTCAGTGCAACTGGTCTTAGTCTGCTGAACAGCAATCAAACCGAGGCAGTACGGGCAGGTATTGTCATGGTTGTGTACCCGAAACTCCTAGCAGGCGCATATGCTTCGATTCGCACACTGAGAGAGGTGTTGCGTTGTCAATTACCGATCGAAATCTGGTTCCGACCGGACGAGATGCAGAATGTGCCTGCTGGGCTCAAGCAATTAAAAGAGGCTGCAAAGGTGGATACAATGGATGGGGTCACATTTCGAGCAATCGATGATTTGCGTGCGGTTCGTTTCGCAGCTAAGGTGCATGCGATTTACAATAGCGCTTTCGACCAAGTGCTGTTCCTGGATGCGGATAACGTTCCAGTGCGTGAACCGGCTTTTTTATTCGAGTCTGAAGAGTTTGTGAGAACTGGAGCTGTGTTTTGGCCGGACTATTGGCACCCGCAGAACAGTATCTTTCACCTCGTCAAAGACTCATTGTTGGGCCAAATGCTGGATATGCAGTACGTTGACATGTTCGTGCAGGAAAGTGGCCAGCTCTTGATTGATCGAAGACGCCACGCTGCTGCCATGGTGCTCGTACACTTCTACGCTTCTCATACCCCTGACCTATTTGAGCGTCTCGATCTGGTGTGGGGGGACAAAGACCTTTTTCGATTCGCGTGGATCAAGCTAAATGCGTCGTTTTCTATGGTTCAAACTTTAGCTGCAGTCGCTGGCAAGCTTGTGAATGAGTCATTTTGTGGTATGACGATGGCTCAACACGATTTTGGTGGAAACGTGCTTTTCCTTCACCGCAATGCCAACAAACTGACTGGGCGACGACAACGTTACAACGTGAATCACGTGTTTGGTCCTCTAGAACCCGACAACCTACCGGATCCAGTTATTTGGACGCATCTGTGGTCATTTCGAAACTCGTCGCGTCGGAATGATTACAGGATTGAGTCATACAGAGCACCTCCAGAATTTCCCGTGTGGCAACGGTGTTCGGGCAAGCGCCACCTTCATGACAACGTGCTGTTTTCCACACAGAAATTCGCAGACCTGAGCTTTTCTGGACTTGAGACGCATCTCAGGCGTTTCGCCATGGAAGGCGTCCAACAGCTGCGGAGATTTCAGGCTGCAATGAAGAACGGAACACACTGGGGTGTGTGACAGTCCAAACGGAAGCCGCGTTATGGTATGTTCATTGTCATGACGAAGAAGTGTTGCAACAAGTCGAAGCTTTGCTCCTTGTACCGCGGTCATGCGATGACCGGTACCAAATAACTGTATGGCAAATAAAAATTGGACTTGGATGCACAATTCTTCGACTCGAACGCTGTCGACTACTGGTGTTGTACATTTTTCCCTTGCAAACTCGACGTGCGGAGACGTATGTGTCGAATCGACGGAGCACTTTTGTGGTTCACGTTTCGTTAATGGCATGTCTGTCATCGCTGAAAGAGCTTCTGGAAGTAAAAGTTGCCGACAGTGTCAAGAGTCTGGTGCAAACGTTACTGATCTCTTGCCTCCTTGTCACACAGTCGAATGACAGACCTTTTTCTCTTTGTTTGTACAGTCCTACAACAGCTCTACTGCCTTGAAAAGGACAGATTATAGCAGTCCGGCCCTGATGAAGCGTTCAGAGCGCCCATCTCAATCTCGGATCACATCGTCTGCATCGAATCGTTACTGACCGCGACATCTCGTACCAATCGAACCGCAACAACAATCCAATCCAACAATTGTCACGAGGTCCCCATCCGCTTCCCTGAGCGCATCAATTGACTGGCTGAAAGGCATCCCGACTCCCTCTCAAGCGCCAGACCAAGATGAAGGTCGTCACGTGTGCAGCTCCCACCAACATCGCCGTGATCAAGTACTGGGGCAAGACCGACGCGGTGCTCAACACGCCCCTGAACTCCAGTCTCAGCGTGACGCTGCACCAAGACCAACTGCGGGCCACGACGTCCGTTGCCAGTGGATCAGCTCTGAGCCGCACGCGGCTGTGGCTCAATGGCCAGGAGCAGCCCCTCAACAGCCGCGTGACGACTGTGGTGCGAGAGATGCAGCAGCTGGCCCAGCGCGTGCATAAAGCGGCGCAGGAGACGCAGCAGCCGCTGCTTATCGTGTCCAGCAACTCGTTCCCGACGGCGGCGGGACTCGCCTCGTCTGCTGCTGGCTACGCGTGTCTCGTGGCCGCGTTGGCTGAGTTCTACCGCCTCTCGACGGCAGACGAGGAGTTTCCAGGCCAGTTGTCGGCTATCGCACGGCAAGGCTCGGGGTCGGCCTGCAGGAGTCTGCACGGCGGCTTCGTGGCGTGGCACAAGGGACAGCGGAGCGACGGACGGGACTCGGTCGCGGTGCCAGTCGCTGACTCGCTGCACTGGCCGGAGCTCCGTGCCGTCGTGTGCGTCGTGAGTGACCAGCAGAAGGACACGAGCAGCACGCGCGGCATGCAGAGGACCAAGGCCACGAGTCCTCTGCTGGCGTACCGGGTCGAGCACGTGGTGGCCGATCGCATGAAGACGATGGAGGAAGCCATCTTGGCGAAGGACTTTGCAGCGTTCGGGACGCTCACGATGCGAGACAGTAACCAGTTCCACGCCACTTGTCTCGACTCGATGCCGCCAATTTTCTACTTGAACGAGACTTCACGAGAAATCATCCGACTCGTGCACCGCTACAACGAACAAGCTGGTCGGGTACAGGCAGCCTACACCTTCGATGCGGGGCCGAATGCTGTCCTCTTTGTCGAGGAGCAGCACGCGCAGGAGCTCGTGTCGCTCGTATGCCACTGCTTTTCCGACTCTTTGAACATGACGATCAAGGCCTCGATGTCTTTTGACTGCACGCCGTCACGCGCGCTGCTTGAACGGATGCAGTCGAAAGCGTGTGGCAGTAGCAAGGAGACTTTTGAGCTGCCGCATCTCCCTGACAGCGTAAAGATGATGTACGTGTCTCGTGTTGGTGGTGGCACGCGCGTACTGTCCGCAGACGAAGCGCTGATTGATGCGGTTACAGGCGAGCCGCTGTTCTCCCGGACAGCGGCGTGTAGCCATCCTATGAGCAAGCCCAGATCCTGCCTGCGTAGTGACCAGTTGCTGCATTACGTGGTCGCTGCTGTTGCTGCCATCGCAGTGACCGGCGCGGTGCTGCTGCGCAAATGAAATGCAGACTGATCCACCACGACCCAAGCAATACACTCACCACAGAATGAACGCAGCTACGGGTCCCTCTATGCTTCGTGAGTCAGCCTGGCCTTGACTCGCACAACTTCCGACGTACATTGGCTCATCATCCATCACCGTTTGGTACCATCGAACTACAGTGGCAAGCAGCAGCACTACCAGTAGCCCAAGCTTCGCAAGACCACTACTTGATCGATCGCAGGTGAACGTCCGCAGAGCATCCATTGTCTCTGTAGTGCACGAAAGACGTCCGTTGACATCCACTTTTCGTCCACATCGTCGTGCTCGTCCACGCTCGTTTGCCTGCTTTCAGCGTCGCGATTTCATGGTAAAAAGCACCAAGCCTCTGGGTACTGCACTCGCTGTCGCAGTCGACTAATTGTGCGTCGCCTTACTGCAAAGAAACACGGTTTCAGCTTGCGGTCAGCGCACTGGATTCTCAGTCTTGTGCGTGGAGAAGGACCGTTTTGTCCCCTCGAGGCTTCCAGCAGCTTCTGCTTGTGGAAAGCCACGTGCACGTATGTGCAGCAGCTTGAAGGTATCTACGTGTGCGCTTGAGCATTATGCTCGGACATCTGTGCAGCTCCCGCCACGGCACATTTCGACGGGACGAGAGTCTCCAATGACTAGTCAGGTTCCGCTTGGCGAGAGTAGGCGGTGCTAGCGCCTGATCCGATGAACAGTAGCGTGGCAGCTTATGTCCACACGATAAGTCACGACGCGTTGCCTCTGGAAGCTGCAGATGCGTGGTGACCTCCTGTCTAGCGGCTGCAACAACTCGCCTCGTACGAGCTACTTCAAGCGTCACGATACAGCTGTTCATGTTCACGCAATCGTCAAGCCACATTGTCATGAGTACTCGCAAGTTTTTCGTTGGATTTGAAGCAAGTGATGCTGTTCAATGTGGTCGATTGCATCGGCTCATCACGCCACATTAAATCGAAACGAAACTCATGGTACTCTGGCCCATAAGATTAGGAAATTGTTGTTTCCACCACACTTATACTGTTTCCACCACACTTATACTGTTTCCAGCACACCCAGTAATTCTTAATAGGCGCACCACACCACACGAATCTACAACGCGCACACATCACTCCCACTCCCGCCTTCATCGACGATCTCCGATCCAAGCACCCTCAAATCGCCAAAACGGCTGTGCCAAATCAACACATACGGGTATGTCTACATGTAATTGATTTGACCCCTATGTAACGGGGTAGCCCGTTACATGATAATGACACCAAACGGTGTCAATAGGGATATTGTCTAGCATGACAATATTCTACCAATATTATCCGAGATGGATAATATTGAAGCAATATTATCCTCTTTTAGGATAATATTCATGTGATGCTCCAAGATTGGTTGATATAAGACATATCAACCACAGATTACTACCAATCGCTGCTAGACGCGCGCAATGAGTGGTGAGCAGGTTGTCGTCATGCGGCGGCGTAGCTTGACATAGTTAGATAAATACTGAAGTTATATTGATAGCTTAACGATGTTAAATACAGTTCTCGTTTTACCCTTTACTCAACATATTTGTTGAGTAGATTAGCTTTCCTCTGCACGTACTAGTGTACGTGAAGTTTCGTGGCACCCCAAACAAAGGGTGCCCCGTTACACCTGGTAGCACTTTGTAGTCCGTCCAACGACTACTTGAGTGTCCGTCCAACATGAACATGTTGGACGTAGAAGACGACAGCTTTCACGTCACACGTGAAGGCTACTCCTATCTGAGTGTTCAGAATGGGAGGTAGTCGGCCGCATGAGTGTGCACATGGGCGAACCCGCCATCAGCATGTTGGAGTCTCTAAGCAGAGATCAGCAACATGCTGCTATCAACAAGTTCCTACAAGGGGAACTTGCCGTCGAAAAGACAGAAAATTTCCTTGCTACAACAGCAAGGCTCTCATCAGTCGATGAGTGGGCCGACGCAAATGCGTCGACCCAAAACCTTGAAGAATGATATCTCAAGGTACAAGGGAATCGATGAAGATTCCTTTTTGAAATGGTTCGTCGAGTTAGACGACACCATCAGGGCCCGTCACATCGAGGGTTACGAGATGCAGTCACCTTCGCCCTGTCAAATTTGACAGGACGAGCAAAGACTTGGGCCTTAGGGATCAAGCAAAACAACTTAAACGTGTTTGGGTCGTTGGAGACCTTGAAGTCCCGGCTTAAAGAGACGTATGAGCCACTACGAGCCGAGTTCAGAGCACGCTCTGCACTCTTGAGGCTAAAGCAAGGTAAGCATGATGTGCATGCTTACGCACAACATCTACGCTAACTTGCGAGTAGCATCACGGAACACCCTGTTGATGAGCACACGCTCATCAACGGGTTCGTCTACGGCCTTGTAGATGGGCCGGTGAAGACCTACATGGTCCGAGAAGACTTCCATACGCTGGAAAAGGCGATAACGTATGCGGAACAAGAAGACTTCAGCCTGAGACAGTCTCAGGCTAACTCGTCAAACTATCGTCTGACGAGACGACAGGAAACAGGAGTTTCCGACCAGTGGTCCTCTGTTATATCGAGAGCGAGAACTCTCGCTCTCCGAGTCACAAGCGAACGGCGAGATGCCATCGCTGTCAGAAATTAAACACTACGCTCATGGGTGTAGTGTCCCAAGCACCGCATCGCGTCCAGAGACAGGACGTGATGACCACCGTTGGCCAAGGAAAGGTCCAAGGCGTGGGTTCGACCATGTCGCTAAGTCGCGACAGCAAGTCGGACCGCAAAAAAGCAGTCAGGGTCAGTAGGGGTGGGTCACCCTGCTGATCCAGCAACGTCAAGAGAATTTGCAGGACTCTTGACGAAGATTGTTCCCAACACACAGTCGCTGTGTGTTACTGCCCCTAGTGATGAGGTGTCCTCATCACTTGAAGATCGAAATGACAAGTGGAATGTCACGTTGCGCCCTAGTTAACTGTGTGGCGTCGAACAGTTTTATTCGACGCCAGTTGCTAGGGG